CGGAGAGAGGCATTATGGAGAGAATAGGGGTGGGGGAGAGAGGCATTATAGAGAGAATAGGGGTGAGGGAGAGAGGCATTATGGGGAGAATAGATGTGAGGGAGAGAGGCATTATAGAGAGAATAGGGGTGAGGGAGAGAGGCATTATGGGAGAATAGATGTGGGGGAGAGAGGCATTATAGAGAGAATAGGGGTGAGGGAGAGAGGCATTATGGGGAGAATAGATGTGGGGGAGAGAGGCATTATAGAGAGAATAGGGGTGAGGGAGAGAGGCATTATGGGTAGAATAGATGTGGGGAGAGAGGCATTATAGAGAGAATAGGGGTGGGGGAGAGAGGCATTATAGAGAGAATAGGGGTGAGGGAGAGAGGCATTATGGGGAGAATAGATGTGGGGGAGAGAGGCATTATAGAGAGAATAGGGGTGGGGAAGAGAGGCATTATAGAGAGAATAGGGGTGAGGGAGAGAGGCATTATGAGAAGAATAGGGGTGAGGGAGAGAGGCATTATGAGAAAAATAGGGGTGAGGGAGAGAGGCATTATGAGAAGAATAGGGGTGAGGGAGAGAGGCATTATGAGAAAAATAGGGGTGAGGGAGAGAGGCATTATGAGAAAAATAGGGGTGAGGGAGAGAGGCATTATGAGAAAAATAGGGGTGAGGGAGAGAGGCATGAAAACACTACCAGGGAAACCAAATAAGACATTGGTATGTTGTGGAAGTCATCAATTTTATTCCATTTTACCCTACTCATCACTTTGGAAACATTTTTTTGTTTTTGTAATACTTTTTATAATAAACATATAATGTTTTATTATAAGAATGACATTTTTTTTAGTACTGGTATACTCACATATTTCTGATCACTGGGAAATTGGAATAGTTTGACAAATCCAAAATCATCGCCAGTTGCCAATGCATTACATGTGTTCGCTAAATGTGCAGTATTCACATCAGCCTTATCTGCACTACGCGGCCATATACCTATCACCTCTTGACCTAAAACACTGCATGAAAAAAAAAGGAAGATATTAAATTATAGTGTGATTGTGCTTAAACTGTACAACCCCTACTTCACAAAGTCATTCACAGAAAAGAGGAAGTAAAGAGTTGTTTTATGTGTATATAAATATATATACATATACTCGACAGATTTATGGTTTCTAGTGCTTGTGGTACGTATCATTTGAATGACATCAATTTTTACCACTAAAACTCTTGTACATTTTTATTTGTTGTTATTGTTAATTTGCTGGTGACTCAATTTATTGGTATTTACACTGTTTTTAATTCTTCAATCAATAAACTGTGTTTTAAAATGTAGACCTTGAAGTGTTTGTTGTGATGTGTTCAAACTCAGAGTGAGTGAGCAGTTCACAAATCACACCGTACGTTGAAGTATGCTGCAACACTGTATCACAGCTAGACCTGTCCATAAAACCAATGCAACAACTCTGCTTTTTACACTAATATCCAGTTCCTACCTACCCGGTACTTGAAAATACATTAAATTGTTCAAAATGTGAACATTCTGGTAGGAATAATTATGAGTTTCAAAGGGTGAAGACAAATGGTATCCCATAGTAACTGGTTCTACAAAACAAACTCTGTCATACACAGTGACTGTCAGTTACCATGGATTCTCATCATTTTGGACTGAATAGTGTAATGGTCTATTGTAATTTCGAAATGCTAAACTTAACAATATCATAACCAAATGTGAATGAAAGACACATCAGATTACATAATAAAGATAATATTACTTATAATATTCTATATAATTCACTCATTCTTTCACACATAAGCTATTGTATTGAAATATGGGGCAACACTTTCAGTACCGTTATAGATCCAATTTTAAAATTGCAGAAAAAATTTATTCGCTTAGCCACTTTTTCAAATCCCTGTGCAAGTAGCTCACCGATCTTTAAAAGACTGGGCATGCTTGATGTGCATAAATTATGCAAGTTCCAAACTTGCATGTTTATTTATGACCTGAAGAGTGATCGTTATGATCGTTCTCTGGGTCATTATGCCCCTTCAATTTCTCACTCTTATTTGACACGCGAGTTATTTCTGGCAAACTTGAAATTTCAAAAGTAAAACTAAGCTCAACTAAAAACAGTTTAACATATTCATTAGTAAAACACTGGAATGATTAACTTCAAGAAATTGCTTCAAGCCTACCCTAAAAATTTTTTTTTAAATAATTGAACATCAATTTTATTGTTATTTCTTTATTACTCAATTTACAGTATTGTTATTTCACTATTACCAGCATATTTCATAACATTTTTCTCATTATGTACTTTTAAACAATATATTAATATGATTTATGAATTCACTGTCTTTATCTTTATCAGCAAGGGCTAGAGACTAGATTAGTTCTACTAGAACTACCTCTCTTGTCCTCGCCAGATAGTTATGTATATCTCTATTTTCGTTTTTGTACTTGTGTTATGTATTTTATCTGGTGAAATAAAATTGTATTGTATTGTATAATATCATGTCATGTTCCTAAAAATAGAACATATATACTACCATGGTCTATGATGATCATAGGGCAGATGTTGCATAGCTGACAGCAGAGGGCGCTCTAACAAATTTCTGCTTTATACAGTGTTCTCCCCAGACTCTAAGCCAAGCATCGCGGCTAATTTACATAATAATACATCTTATTTGCATAATTTTGTTTGCATAATAATTAGTTTCCCCAACAAACATTATAACTGAAATAAAGAAGAGATACATATCTCATATATTTTTTATCATTTACATTCATTGTGTTTTATGTGTGCATCAAGTCAAATACAGTTTGAAAGGAAACAGGAAAGAAATGGAAATACTTATAGCCAGTCAGTAAATATATTGTTTATCCGTGGAGGTAACTGGTTCATCATTATTTTGTGTACAAGTACAGTCAGTGCCAATGTTACTGTCAGTTCATACGACAA